TTGACATAGGTCAGAGAATTCAGGGAAAAGTCAGGGATTTTTAGTAAAAGTACTGGAAAAAATTGAATTTTTAAAATTCATAAGAAAACTCAATTTTGAATGAATTTAATTAATAATTTTAAAGAACTTAGTTTTTTAAAAAATTTTACTAATTCAAATTCTTCTGAAATTAGTTACATTGTTTAATACATATTTAAAGAATTATTAAAAATTATGGACTTATAGAAGAATTTTAGTTAAAAACACTAAAAAAAAAATTGAATTTTGAAGAAGTTAAAAATATAATAATTGCGGAAATTCAATTATTTTCAAAAGTAATAAAGTTCTTCACACAAATTCAATTATGTTAAAAAATTATTAAAAATTCTCGTCAAAATTTCAAGTATTCTTTACCTATGAATAATAAAATTATTTTCAAAATTTTAATGAAATTTTTGGGAAAATTTTAATTATTTTCAAAAATTTTCCTCAATTTATAATGATTTTAAATATCTACTATTTTAATAAAATTTTCCAAAAGAATTCAATAATTTAAAAAAATCTTAATAAAATTCTAAGCAAACCTTTTTATTATTTACATAAATAATTAAAATTTCGCAGTAATTCAATTATATTTATAATTTTTTATTAATTTCTTCTCAATAATTCAATTATTTTCATATAAATAATAAAACTCATCGCAGAATTTCAAATTATTTTTAATACAATTTTAATTTTAATTCTGTTGAAATTTGTTGAATTTTTTAATATTGTATTTAATATTATTTCCAAAATTTTAACGCAATTCTTAGAAAGAAATCAATTATTATCTAAATAAATATCAAAATTCTTCCCAGAAATTCAATTGTTTTCAAGAATTTTAATAAAATTCTTTGCAAAATTCAATTATTTTAATAAATAACAATATTAATCACGAGAATAAAATTATTTTCAAGAGTTGGAAAATTCTTTTCATAAATTCAATTATTTTCAAAAATTAAAAAACATCTGGAGGGACAAATCGTTGATATTTGAGAGTTAGCTATTGGATAACAATCTAAATGTTCAAATACACCATTGACAGTTATTCGTGCCATTTCTCTTGGAGGGAAAATGAGTTTATAACAGAGGGACCATCTTGAGAAATCCCTTCCTTATCCGGCGCGAAATGAATAAATATGGCAACCTAACCCCTAAATTTTTTATTTTTGGCACGGATTTTTCGAAAAATCCGCGACAAAAAATCAAAATCGTTGCCCTCCCCGACCTGGTTCCACTTGAAAATAATTTCTTATGATTCCTGACATTAGTATTTTTAATAAATGTGGAAAAAAATTGGATCTGAGGCGGGGAAATAGAAATTGTTACGTATTATATTTTTCGTCGAACAAACGTTGGTAACTTCAGTTTCATCGTTTTTACTAGTAACTGATTCAAACAACTATCTCATTTTATTTTCAAAAAGGTTGTCTTTTTAGTATAAAATGCTTTGTTTGCTTACAAACTAACATTGTGTAACTTATTTTTTTTATTTAAACTTTTTTTGTGCGAACTTACCCGACTCTCCCCTACTGTTTATCATAATTTTGGAGTTTTATTTAGGATTAATGTTTTTATTATTTTTCAGCATTACTTTAGGGATATTCTTCAGCATTGCTTTAGGTTATTCTCCAGCATTACATTAGGATATTCTGCAGTATTATTTTGGACTGTTTTTTAGCATTACTTTGGGATTTTGTGTAGCATTACTTCTCAGGTTCATATTTTCCAAAGCATCTGTAAACTTCCTCTTAGGAATTGAAATTAGTTGAATAGAAAATTCAGCAACAAATTTTTACTTTCCCTCCTTCTTTGGTTTTTACCACCACATCTAAAGAACCACCAACATGTACACAAAGACAAAGTTTGCAAACTTATGATTACAAAGACAACCTTTGCAACCATCATTAAAAGAATGCAACCTCGAATTTTAAGTGCAAGCGCATTTACCTACATCTTCCATACTTTACAGAAGTCAAATCAAATTCTAAATTACAGTTCCTTGTGACACGACATTTACGATCCTTTAAATACATATAGCTTTTGAAATTTATTCATATCCATATATCGGTGTGAAAAACCACTTTAAACAGTAATCAAGTGAAGATCAAAAGTCTGCGGTTTAACGAACGATAGGTCTTTTATCTTTTCAACGAAGTGTGTGCGGTTTAACAGATATCGCATCTCTCGACTTAGCACTTTGTTTCTTTCCCTCTTTATTAATTTATTTTCTTCTCTTCACTCTCACTCTCAATCATCTTCTTTTTTCTTCTTCAAAAAAATAGAATTTTACTGCATTTTCTTCTCAAGTTTAAAAATAGAATTTCTTTTAGCTTTCTAAATATAGAATCTGTTCGTTTTTATTCCTCATTCCTTAAAATTTTATTTTGTGCAAGATTTATATATATATATATATATATATATATATATATATATATATATATAAATCTTTGTTATTATTTAATTGAAATTGTAAAAGAATTATTTAATTTAAATTATTATTTACTTTCATTTAAATTTTTTTGACAATTCTAATAAATTTTCTTCTCTTTTTGTTTCAGGTGAGTTAAACAACATATTTTTGGTGTCGAGTCTATTTCGTAAGTAATATTGGTAATAATACAACTACTACTAGTAAAAGTGTAACTAATATCATAATATGACTAATAGTACAATAATACTGACAAAAGTGCAACTCATTCTGGTAATAATTTACCTACTACTGAAAAAAGTGTTGTGTTGACATTTGCCTTAAGGTTGTTTTTCCAGTAATATAGAAGAAAGCTAAGATCAGCCTAAAAATAAAGAAAGATTGTATAGACTTTTTTACTGCACACTAATTGTCACCTTTTTTACCTAAAGCTAAACGTCGTAAAATGTAAATTCCCTTTACCTTTTACCTAGTCTAACTCTCGATTCGTCCCCCTATTTCAATAATCCGAAACTAGAATAATCTGCCCCTTAATCTGCGGAAGTTACTGTCAATCGTAATATCATTGAAGCACAGTTGCCACATGATTAAAACAAACGCCACACATCCTCCAATCATCTTGTCCTAACTTTCAATCAACGACTTGTCGATAACGAGACAATAAAAAGTATGCAGAAATTGATCTCGGTATACTTTCTATGCGACAAAGAGGACGGGAAAATTCTGATGCTGCAAAAAAAGGGAAAAGGTATATAGAAATCACTTTAGGATATTGTTTAGCATCATATATACTTTAGAATATTGTTCAGCATTACTTTGTAAGTAATTACCATTATTTTAGGAATTTATTTAGCATTTCTTTAGAAATTAATTTAGCATTACTTTAAGAAGATGTTCAGCATTATTTTTAGACAGTATTCAGAATTGTTTAAAGATGTTTTTAGCATTATTATTGGATATTTTTTTAGTATTACTTTGGAATATTATGTATAGCATTATTTTTAGACAGTAATTAGAATTACGTAAAAAAATTTTTCGGTATTATTTGTGAATATTGTTTATCATTACTTTTGGTGTTCGCTGAGCATCATTCCAGAGTGTTATTTACCACTATCTTCAAATACAGTATTTAGAATTAAATAAAAAAATTTTTAGCATTATTATTGAATATTATTTATCATCACTTTACGATTTTGTGCAGCATTACTTGAACTTTGTATTTAGCATTAGTTCTGGATATTATTTAGCATTAATTTAAGATAATCTTCAACATTACTCTAGGATATGATTCAGCATTACTTTAGGACATTCTTCAGCATTATTTTCGAATATTTTTCAGCATTACTGTAGGATATTCTGCAGCATTGTTTTGTAGTATTCTTAAGCATTATTTTAAGATATTCTGTAGCATTATTTTCAAGTACTGTTTAGCTTAACTTTAGGATATTCTTCAGCATTACTTTAGAATATTATTCTTCAGCATTATTTTCGGTATACTTTCGGTATATATGATTACTGTATCATTAATATTTAGGTTCGTATTTAGCATTACTTTAGGATATTCTACAATATTTCTTTAATTCTTTAGTATTATTTTGAAGTATTGTATAGCATTATCTTAGAGTATTCTTTAGCATTACTTTGGGATATTGTAAAGCGTCACCTTTGGGTGGTATATTGTGTACCATTACTTTATATTCGTATTTGGGCTATAATTCAGCAATATTTTGGAGTACTTTTCAAGTTATTGTTTTGATAATTTTGCTTTAGACTACTGTTTGGTTTTGTATTCAAATATTTTTTTACAATTATTATATGATTTTCTTTAGGTTAATTGTCAGTATTATTTAGCATTACTTTATACTATATTGCTTGACATTACTTTTGGTTATTATTCAGCATAGCTTTAGTTTCCTGGTACTTTCTAGCCGACAAAGAGGTCGAAAAATTCTAATGCTATAGTAAATGAAAAAAAACAAAGCTGAATAGGAAGAAAAGGTAGAAAACAAATAAAGTTAAATCTTAGAAGTTAGAAGATATGAAGAAACGGTAGTAAAAGGAGAGAGGATGTAAAAGAAGAAAAGGTAATAAACGCAGAAAGATACTAAAAGAATAAGCGGTAGTCAAAAGAGAAAGGTAGTAAAAGAGAAAAGGGTAGATAAACAAGAAGTAATAAAAGGCAAAAGGTAGACAAAAAATGGATATAGATAAACAAAAGCTAGAAAAGAAAAAGGTGAAAAAATAAGTAAAAGTAGCAAAAATAGCAAAAGTAGCAAAAGCAGAAGAAGAAAAAGAAGAAAGAATGAAGAAGAAGAAGAAGAAGAGGAAGCAAAGAAGAACAAGAAGCTCGCAAAGAAGGGCGAGACCGGCCGGCCGGCGGCAGCTGTCATAAGATACGTTTTCCCGCCAACCGGTATGGAGGCCAAGTGTTGGGGATAGATGTCTTGGTACAAAGCGGGTAAAAGAGGGTCTCTCGTCGAGTTGCCTCGAGACCCCGGGCTGTCAAGCCGGCGTTGGCGTGTTGAAACTTTTCGTAGAGAGCAATTCCTTCTCAGTCTTGCTCTGGCATCTGTTTTGTATTCTTGCAAATATACGCGCTCTCTTTTTCTCTATTAAAAAAAATCACATCTCCACTCTCTTCTCATACTCAAAATTTTCCTCAAACTCAAAATTTCCCAAAGAAAAAATTATATAAAAAAAGTTTTTTTCCCTTAATCTCCAATCAAATCAAATTCCTCCCCATACAACTCCAATGCTTTATCTAAAATCAAAAAAAATCTCAATGCTTCCGCATAATCCTCGTAGACAAGGTTCAATGTGTTATTTATCATCACAGGAGGAATACGAAACAAAAAGATTTTGTGTTTTGTTCGAGTGTGCGTGAAATGTCATGTTCCTCGTGGCGCACGGAGTGAATAAAAGTTCTTTGGTAAAATAGAAGAAGGAGAACTGAAAGAATATTTGGAGAATTATGTCAATTGGACGTAATTCTAATTTTTTGGGAATGTATCGAAAAGTCGAGTGTGAAATGACAACGATAAGAAATGACAAGGATGTATTTGGTGTATTTTCGAGGAGGAAAGTACAAACGTTGTAAAGATGTTTGTCGACAATACTCTAGGTATATTTTTGGTCGTTGTAGAAGATCTTGTGTCTAGTTTTCTTCTTTTTTTGACGAAATGCAACCAGTTGGAAGTGGAGTGACAGTTGACGAGTGCTATTGAATTTTCTTGTCATTCCCGACAGTGACAGTCTGCGACTATTGTCGACGATCTTTGCTGTACGACTTGAGGCTAAAGGAATTGTTTTTCAAAGTCGATCCGTGTGATCCATCAATTTTGTCATCGAAATTGGTAGCAAAAGGAATTGACATTCGTTAGTTCGAAATTCAGTGTTCTAAGTGGTACCGGAATTAGTGGAAATAGAAGAGTAGTTTGTGGCAGTAGTAGTGGACATTAAGAGCCAGACAACATTTCGGAAATGTTGTGAGACACATCTTATGCTTTTGGAACGTTACATTTTTGGATTATTACAAATTTTGATCATTAAAACTTTGGAACATTACATTTTTGGATTATTGTATCTTTGAATTATTACAAATTTGGATCATTAAAACTTTGGAACATTACATCTTTGGACTATTGTATCTTTGGATTATTACAAATTTGGATCATTAAAACTTTGGAACATTACATCTTTGGATCACTACATCTGTAGATCATCAAATCTTTAGATCGTCACATCTTTAAATCAAAGAAAAAAGTTTTTGTTTGTTCCGAAAAGTTTTTTAAAGCAGCATTTAAAAGTAGTGATTTTAAAAAGTGTCTTCAGAAAGTGTTGTTAAAAGGAAAGTGTCATAAAAAATTGTGTTAAAATACTGGTCACCTTGAGCAGCGATCGTCTCGAGGAAGTGTTAATACTTTGGACAAAGTGAATATTCAAACTAGAAGTGAACGTCGAAAAAAGTGATAAACATCCGTAAGAGTAAAGAACATCGAAAATAGTGACTACTTTGAAAAATAGCCACTATCTAAAAAATAGTGATCATCTTTAAAAATTGTGACCACCTTTGAAAATAGTGATTGCCTTTAAAGATTCTGATTACTAGAAACAGTGACTGCTCGTTACTAAAAATAGTAACCATCTTTAAGAATAGTAACCACCTTTAAAAGTAGTAACCATCTTTAAAAATAGCATCCACTTTTTTAAAAATAATAACTTCCTTCAAAAACAGTGACTTTAAAATAAAAGTGACCACTTTGACTTCTGAAAAACTTAAGAATCAAGAATAATTGGTCTTCTTAAGAGGCTCCTAAGGAATGATAAATCTTTAAAGAGTACTATCTTGAGGAATAGTATTCATAATAAATACACCAAACTACCTAAAACAAAGCCTATTTTTAAAATGCTTTAAATATCAGTGAACATCTTAAAGAATAGAGATAAAAAAGAGGCGAACGTCTTAAGGAAAAACCTATTAAAGCAGAAGTTTACTAAAAAAACCTGCTAAAGAAGAAGACTAAAAAAGAAAAAATCCACTAAAGAAGAAGACTACTAATGAAAAAAAGTAAATAAAAAAACGAAAAGTAAAAAATTAAAATAGACCTGAAATAAACAAAATTCGACGAAAAACGATTAAAATTTGCCGAAAGAAAAATGATTGTGGAACCGGAAGAGCGTAATCAATCGGCGAGTGACAGTCGTCAATTAGCAGAAATGCATCTGGAGCAGAGAATGAATGGCGATCGTACAGGTACGTAGCAGCTAGCAGCAGTTGAAATAATAATGCTCATATGATTGTCATCATTTAGTGTAATTCCACTTATCAAGTGAATCGTACTCGTTGACTTTTATTGTTTCAAATGTCATTATCTCTATACTTTACATTGTGAAGCATGCAACATATATATCCAGAGAGAGATGAGAGTGTTGTTCGGAAATATATATAGCTATATATACTTGAATCTTTCGCCGCAGGTATAGCCAAAGCATGTTCTCTGCAGCTGTCAATCCCCTTCCTTTCTTTCTCTTTTTTCTTTTTCTTCTCTTAAAGCCGAGGGTTGTTTACCCTTAGAATATACATTGTCCACGAATCTTCTCGTAAATTCCCGCCTTTTATTATATTTGAGTCGATGATTTTTGTTTGTGACCTACTTTTTTTCACATGTAACTTGTGTCAATTTGAGATTATTTCGAGCAATTTTGAACCATTTTGAATAGTTTTGAAAATTTTTTTTTGAAAACTTGTTATAAATTTCTTTTATACACATAGTTCTGTCTATAGATCTGAATTTGTTAGAAATAACTAAATATTACAATTAGGTTTTCTTTTTACTTTAGGATCATATTTGGTATTAATTTAGAACAATACTTTGGAATGTTATTTAGCATTACTTCAGAGTGTTATTTAACAAGTCTTTGTGATTTTGTGTAATAGCATTAATCTAGTTTCGAATTTAGCATTAATTTAGGATACTATTTAGCATTAGTTTAGGATACTTTTTAACATTAATTTATGATATTCTTCAGCATTACTTTAGGATATTCTTTAGTATTTCTTTGGTACATTGTTCAGTAATATTTTGAAGTATTATGTAGCATTATTTTGAAGTGTTCTCTATCATTACTTTAGGTTATAGTTTTGTTTTTACTTTATGATATTATGCATTATTAATTTAGAATATTATTTAGCATAAATTTAGGATATTTTTTACCATTTCTTTAAGATATTGTTTAGCATTGCGTCAGAATATTGTCTAGCAATGCTTCAGGTTCTTGTTTAGCATTGCTTTAGAATACTGTTTCGTATTACGTTAGAATATTATTTAATATTATTTCGAATTATTATTTAGTATTACTTTGGGATTTTGTGAAACATTATTTAGGTTCGTATTTAGCATTAGTTTTAGATATTATTTAGCATTACTTTAGGTTCGTATTTAGCATTAGTTAAAGATATGATTTATCATTATTTTGGGATATTCCTCAGCATTACTTTAGTATATTCTTCAGCATTGCTTTAGAATATTCTGCAGCATTATTTTCAAGTATTGTTTAACATTATTTTGTAGTGTTCTATTGCATTACTTTAAGATATTCTTCAGCATTACTTGAAATATTCTCCAGCATTTCTTTCAAGTATTATTTAGCATTACTTTAGAAAATTCTTCAGCATTACTTTAGGAAATTCTGCAACATTAGTATTTCTGGAATTGTTTGTGCGCATTGTTTGTGCTTTAAATGACATCAGTGTTACAAATATTAGCAGAAGTTGTACATTATAAATTTATATTTGTAATTTTAGTATACTACTTATGTTGCCCTAATTTGCTATTTTAAGGACATTGTAAAAAAAATAAAAGATTGATCAAACATTTGTTTTATAGATCACTTGAAATTACTTTGAATTATATTGCCATATAATTGTGCTACCATGTCTATAAATTAATTACTATTTCTCCAACAACTTCCTTAAGTATTTAGATAATTAGTGATGAAGTTGTTACAGCATTAAATTGTGATGACACGCTTAAAATTTATTCCCTCTTTAATGACATTTAAGAATATTGTTTAGCATTATTTTATGATATTGTTTAGAATTGTATTTATATATTCCTTTGGAGGACTCATCGAATTTCTCGACGTATTTTTTATGCATTCTTTAGTAGTAAAAGATTTGATATAGTGACAGCACTAATGACAAAAAAAATTCAATAAAAGTACATAGTAAAAATAACTTCATCCTGTTCGAAATTCTTTGTACAAAATCTGTGTCTCTAAGGATATTAAATTGAGACAAAAAACGCATCAAAATACTTGCGAAGCAGCATTTTTCTGCAGATATAAAATTGAGACAAAAAAAGAATCAAAAGTGTTGCGAAGCAAGACTTTTGATTCTTTTTTTTTTGTCTCAATTTAATATCTGCAGTAAAACTCTGTTTTAGCAAATAGTCAACTTAAATTATAAAAGAAAGCAAAGAAGAAAAAGGAATTTTTAAAGAAAAACACAAACAACGAAAGAGAATTTTGACAGTAAAAAAAAAAAATTGAACAGAATCTTTTCTCTATTCTTTTAAACCAACAGCAGTTAACATTTAGCAACCACGTGGCGAGCGGCTGGATTTCTGTATACGGGGTCCACATGTCTTTCCACAAGGCAGACTCGTGCGTATCGAGCACGTTTTTCCCACCGCGACACAACAATTTCATTGAGAAAAATATGTATATATCTATAAATGAAAACGATAAAAACTTTCCGCCATATAGAAATTTTCTCTCCAATATAAAAAAAAAAAAATTTTTTTTTAATTGAAAATTCAGCATACAATCAATTTTAGCAAAATCTTATTCTCATTAAAAATATATTAAATTAAAAAATAAATAAAGTAGACTTATTGAAATACTATTGTTACCAAAAATAATAAAATAATTTTTAAAATAAAAATTCTCGAGATCGGAAGATTTAAAAATAAAGAATATACATGTAACGATGACCTATAAAAAAAGAAAAGGAGATCGTTAAATGAACCTTATAGCGATGGAGAACAAAGGTCCGTCTGAACTTCCGTTGGCCTTTGGATCACGTTAAGAAGCGGAAAACCTATCTCAAATAACCGCAAGAGTGACAAAAATGAAAAAGAATATATATTTCTTTTTCTCTCTGCAATCGTCAAATAAACATCAAATTTTAATACTCCACTTTTTTTGGTAAAATTAAAAGACGTCAAGTTTGTTGACATTTCTTATGACCATTGAAATATTGTATTTATATTTATAATACTGAGACTAAAGTATATTTTTACTTTTTTAGTGCGACGATGGATCATTTATTTAAATTGCTTTCGAGTCACGACTTGCCATTAGAGAAAAGTGATTTAAAACGAAAATGTTTATGTCAAAAGCTTCGTCCCTCTCTCTCTCTCTCTCTCTGTCTGGGTGTATAATGTTTATATTTAAAATATTATCCATATTTAAATCGAAAAGTGAAAAAAGTTTTAAAAAAGTCGGAAAAAACGTGAAAAAGGTTGAAGTGTAATTATCGTGTGGGTTTATTGGCAATTGGATGCATTAACAAATGTTATTAGTTATTGTGTAACTATAAAATTTTATAGCACAAGTTGGAAATATTTATGTTTGTTTTTTATAAAGTTTAGAACAATTTGATTTTATTTATTTAGAAAAATTGTTAGTTTTTGAAAATTTGGAACAAAGACCCCTGAATTAGTGGTAATTGATGCCTCAAAGTAGTGCTGACTAATACTCCAGAGTAATGCTAACTGATATCCGAAAGTAGTGCTGAATAATACTCCAAATAATTGTTGAATAATACCCCAAAGTGATGTTAAATATATATATATATGCTGAAGTATATAGCTTAAAATAATTTTAAATGCTATCTAACACTAATAGCCTAAAATAATGTTTAGTTATTAAAACTGCCTAAAATAATCAGTTTAGGTTATTATTAACAATTAATTTATGATATACTTCAGCATTACTTTAGGATATTCTTTAGTATTTCTTTGGTACATTGTTCAGTAATATTTTGAAGTATTATGTAGCATTATTTTGAAGTGTTCTCTATCATTACTTTAGGTTATAGTTTTGTTTTTACTTTATGATATTATTCATGATTAATTTAGAATATTATTTAGCATAAAAGGATATTTTTTAGCATTTCTTTAAGATATTGTTTAGCATTGCGTCAGAATATTGTCTAGCAATGCTTCAGGTTCTTGTTTAGCATTGCTTCAGAATACTGTTTCGTATTACGTTAGAATATTATTTAATATTATTTCGAATTATTATTTAGTATTACTTTGTGATTTTGTGTAGCATTACTTTAGGTTCGTATTTAGCATTAGTTAAAGATATGATTTATCATTATTTTGGAATATTCCTCAGCATTACTTTAGTATATTCTTGAGCATTACTTGAGAATATTCTCTAGCATTACTTTCAAGTATTGTTTTGCATTATTTTGTCATGTACATTAGCATTACTTTTGGATTTCCTTTAGTATTACTTTATGATATTCTACAGCATTATTTTGGAGTATTCTTCAGCATTACTTTCAGATATTTTGCAGCATTATATTGGAGTATTCTTTAGCATTACTTTAGAATATTGTTTGACATCACACTATAGGGTATTGTTAGACGTTACTATTAGCAATGTAATATTAGCAGAAGATACTATTAGCAGAATAATTAGCTCCATCGTATGTGGCTATGCGTTACAGAAGTATCATGAAGGGTGGGGGAGAGATTAAAAAAGCGCTATTTATAAATAGCCCTAAGTCTATAAATTAAGGAGGTTGTATTGCTTGATTTAACTAATAAAAACAGAAACTATTATTTTGTGATTTGACTTGTTTGGTACTTTGAAACGTCTGGCAACACCGCATTTCTTTATGTTTGTGTTGCAAAAGGTTGGTACGACTTGTTTACATTTAGTTTTAAGTAGCAAATTCTGTGCAATGTTGCAGACAGCTGTTTAATACACTATATAAAACATGAAACATTTTTACAAATTAAATTATTGCAACTCTCACAGATATCTAATGATACTTTTTTTAACAGATATTTAATCATTAGATATCTGTTTCGTATTAAAAAATGTTTCATCAATTTCTTAATGTTAAATACTTCGTTGTAAATAAATATGTATGAAAAAGTACTCAATTCCCATAAGACTCAATGTTAAAAGTTAAAAAACGAAAACGCTTATAACTTTTTGCACAAGTACCCTCAA